CATATCAGAAAGTTATCGGCACCGAAATCAATCAATGACTAATTATATTGACGTTTAATCAAAAAGTGGTTTTGAGCAAAGTTGTAACTGAGAAAATGTTCTATCACAGTTAGCCAATTTACCAGTAAATCATTATAGCGAAAGGCTAGGATAAAGAGAACAAAAAGTTCACTATCCTCTAAGTAATTCTCATATTAACTTCAGTGTGCGTTCACAACGAAATGATCTCAAATTTAGAGAGAATGATCAGGACCTGATTTAGAATCGATTGAGCTTGATATCTATTTTGATATTGAACCACACTAATGCCCAACTTCCGTGATGACATTATTACGCGACCGTACACTCAACAGTATAGGTGATTCAGCGTTTATATATATACATATATATATATAGGGGAAATGCAGGTAATGTCGGCCTAAGTGTCCCTAATTTGGGTCCATACATAAATTCAGCAATCAACTAAATTTTCAATAGCAACCAAAAATATCCATTAGTAACGTCCCAATAACGCGTTTATCTAGATAAAATTGATAAATAGCAGACTTTTAGCGATGGACCCAAATTAGGGACACTTAGGCCAACATTACCTGCATTTCCCCTATATATTTATATTATATTATATATATATATATATTAGACCTGTTCATTTTAACAAAAATGTTCGGGAAGCACCGGGTCAACCGTGATTACAAAACATTTTGTTCATTGTCTTCTAGCCTTTTTAAATATTGTACTGTTAAAAAATTCTATTGCTAATCTTATGGAAATTTTTATCAGCTACAACTTTGTAGAAAATCGTTTTTCAGCCAAACGTCAAATTATATAGTTATTAATTGTTTAAGAGATTGAAAATCTTATGGCAAGATTAAGCAACTGTCTTGTGGGCAACACTGTATTCTGCAGTGTGACATAGTAGCCATGATTTTTGTCTTCTATTCTACGCGCCATAAACACCAATGTTGCCTGCTGAACAGATTATTGAGCATAATCATAAGACATCAGTGACTTGAAAGATTAATAATTTTTGCTCCTTACATTTGATCGAAAAATGGTCTTCAACAAAGTTGTAGATGAAAAAATTTTCAACATGCTCAGTTATCATTTTCTAAAGTAGAGGGAACTGATGAATTTTGAGTTAGATATGAACCGAAACTATAGTTTCTTCATAGTAATTCCCATATAAACTTCAAATGGTTTGTGCCAAGTCAGTTTCTCACTAAATGAGTTCAAATTTTGAGAGGCTAATAAGGGCCCAATTTGGAACCTTTTGAGCACTGTGGAGCGAAAATTTCAAATTTTGCATCAGTCTAATGTACAGGATTCCAGCTCCCAATATAATGCCAAACTGGTCTTGGATGTCCAAAAGTGTGCATGATTATTAAACTGCTTGAGACGGATTCACTTGTTGACTGGGAACGAGATCAGACACGACCCAGCCAAAGACGGTATTTTGCAGCGTTGGTCCGACTTCAGACACCTTGCAACATTTGATTCCAGTTCTCGAAAATCTCTGCCTCCGTTTTCACTGAGTAATACCATATATTTCACAACATTAGGGGCATCTACTGCCAGCATATTTATACCAGTCTTGATACCTGACAGAGAGCTGGTGTCCTACCAGACCGCAGACCGTTTGATGCAACTCAGAGGCACTGGCTGTCTGGTCAACAACAGACATCCAACGCCTCTGAGTTTCATCAAACGGTCTGCGGTCTGGTAAGACACCAGCTCTCTGTCAGGTATCAAGACTGGTATATGCTGGCAGTAGACGCCCCTAATGTTGTGAAATATATGGTTCTACACTGAAAAAAGTTTTCACTTAGCTTCTATTAGAAAAGCACATAATAATTTTCCAAAAACAAAAATAATAATTTTTATCTGAATATCACATAACATCAGAAATTCTATGTGACTAATCATATAGATTTCATTGGACACATAACGTTCATGTGCTTTAGTGGTGCAATTTCCAATTATGGGATCACATGAAAGTTATGTGAAATTCACATGGATATTTTCCACTGGTTATGTGATTTATTTTATGAGTGTAGCTCTCAAATGAAGCTAAACATTGCATTAGGTCCTAAGTAACATTGATCGATTCTCTGCGTCGACTTTCTCTTTCGTAAATAACTTCAGCACATAACCGTTTCTTGTTGTGTTTGTGGGAATATCTTTACATGGCCGTGTGGATACAAAGAGAAAGTCGACGAAGACAATCTGTCAATGTTACTTAGGGCCTAATTCAATGTTCAGCTTGAAATATCTGTGGCTTCGTTGTCACCGGGTTCGCTGACCAGACATGCCCCTCCAACGGGATTCTCTGTTAGGTCTACGGACTGTTCAGACATCCAACGCCTCTAGGTTTCATCGTCAGGTCTGTGCTCTGGTAGGACACCACCCGAGCAAAGTCGGATCAAAATTATATCAAAATGATATCAAATTATGTTTTTGAAATCATATTGCTAACATATTTTGATATGCTATTTTTTAATTGCAGTTGAGTTTATATTTTGATATTTTTTTGATATTTCTAAAAAATATAATTAAAAACAAAATTTGATATTTTTTTAAAAGAGCTTCCACATTCATCACTGAAATCTACATTTTGTTATTTTTTTTTTCTTACAAGTCAATCAGCATGCTTGCTATTTTCTTTATGAACATCACAAAGACAATTCTAGCTGAACATTGCATTAGGTCCTAAGTAACATTGATCGATTCTCTTCGTCGACATTCTCGTTCGTTAATAACTTGAGTACAAATCCGTTTCTTGTTGTGTTTGTCGTATTAGATGCAAGATAAAAGCTTCTTTTACAGATCTGTGTGTTGAAAATACCTGGGAATGTCTTTACATGGCCGTGGAGATACAAAGAGAAAGTCGACGAAGAGAATCTGCCAATGTTACTTAGGACCTAAAGCAATGCTTAGTTTGAATTATGATTTGTACAGTTATATTTTATAACATTTATTGATCTTAATCTACCTGCGAATTCAATTTACTAATCGATATAAGATAGATATCGATAGAACTGATTGAAGTATAGGTTGTTTTTATTTTGAATAAATGAAAACTTATTGATAGCATTTTTTGATTTTGAATCTTGATATCAACCAATAGATTTCAAAACATTCAGATTATTAAATTTGATATCATGATATCAAAATAATAACCAATTTAGTTTTTTTTTTTTTTTTTTTTTTTCCTACCATAGTTATAATAACATATTGATTACTTATTTTGTTTACAATTAACGAAATTACTGATATCAAAACGCATACATGGATTTGTTATCAAGAAAACATGATTTGTTATCTTTTTGATATCCTTCATATACCATTTAGATCTAAATTTTGTTATGATTACTGTTAACTCGACCACACGGTAGGCAAAATATGTTATCACGAACACTTATATCAAAATATCAAAATTAGTTTTCATTTTGTTTTCATTCTCTCCTCGGGCAGCTCTCCCTGAGCTCTTGAACATCTACGACTCCATTATCACCGGATTTGCTGACTAGTAATTTCAATACCTCTCGGATTCTCTGTAAAGAGACTAGTAGTCCGCCTACTTTCTGCCAGTCTCGATAAGAAGCATACAAGGGCAGCATCATCACCGGTATTGCTGAGCAGTCATCCAACTCCTCTGAGGTTTTATGGCCGATTAACGATATGGTGTTTTGACATAATAGGGTACCGTGAACGTGGGTTGTTCCACGCAGTTTGTAATTCCACTCACTCGACTTACAATTTAATAAATGCATGCTATTTGTTTCAATCCTTCCTCCAATTGGAAACAACATGCAATGTATATTTATTTCAGGATTTAATAAAGCTTCTTTCATAACTTAAAAAGAACCATAAGAGCAAATTATGACCACTTTTCACCCAACTAAGGCCGATTGAGAATTTTTGGGCAATTCTGAAGGGGAAGCAAAAAGTCAAAGTGATAACTGAAGTACAGGGATCAAAAACAGCAGTCATATGAAAAGTGATATAATAGGACTACAAACACGATGAACGATGAAGATTTGCGCAGGTTAATGAGCCAGGGTCTGGAAAAGGTCCGTGATGACTTAGAAATCACCAAGAACTTTTTATGCATTTTTTTTTTTGTAATGTGCATAAATGTCACATTTGAGTCAAAACAGCTGTTTAATTGTTAATCCACACTGTTCGAAAAATTCATGTAAATTTCTGCGAGACATAGCGCACATAAAATTAACGCTAGATTTGGCATAAATTTACGCGATATTTCGTGTAGATCTAAGAGCAATATCGCATAAATTAGCAATATTGTATGCAAGCTTGTAAACGATTTCGCTGTTTATGCCAAGTATAGGTCAAAATTAAACGAAGGGAGATTTTACGCGATAGTTAAAATTCAGATTTTTTTTTGTGCATATCCTAAATACACGCTATGGGCAGAAATCTATTTATTTAAGCAAGCTCGACGCGTGCAAGAGCGTGAATTTTCAGCCAAAATTTAACGAGTGGGTTTTTCGTTCATAACCAGCAATTAATATATTAAGCTCACTAACAAAAAACAACTTCCCTGTATGCTTCTTACATCTCAGACTCCGCGAATGTCTTGAACGATGCATAATTTGTGAAAATTGACAATTTTGTTTGGCACCATTTGATGACGACCGTTTTAGCGTTTTCTCATTTTCCGTGGATAATGCCCATTTTCGACGGTAAACAATCAGTACCGTTGCATAAAATTGCATTCGTGCAACTAGTTTACTATGTAGCGAGCGGTTGGAAGATTGCAATACTGCTCATCAATTACTGCTATACATGAAAGAACAATAAAGCTCGATTTTAATAATAGTGAGAGAAGGAAATAATCCATTTCTTTCCTCCCTCTCAGACACATTCGCAAAGATACTTATGGCTTATAGTTTTTCTGGTTCGGTTTCTTCTTTTTCCTACTAGTGTGGTCCGCCAGCCAGTCTCCTTCTTGCCCAACCCAACACACAACCATAAGCTCCGATCACGGAAGGGAGCCGACAAAAGTGAGAGTCTCATCACCTTCGTGCTGTAGTTTACCGTCATCTTTTGGGCTGTCTGGGCGTCTAAAAAGTCAGTGCCAACCGAAGGTTCTTATCAGTATAGAACGGACCACGGCCTCGTACAGGAGGACCATAAATATTCCGAGTAGTGTAGTGAGTTATAAGAACAAAATGCTGAAATCGATAGTTCTAATTGCCGTGTTTGCGGTTGCCGCTACACGTAAGTTGCAGTACATGTCTGTACATACAGTTCAAATCAAAGAACCAGTTTTGTCCCGTGTGCAATTTTAACTCTCACTTTCAATCCCACCTCATCTTGGCTTTATTGCAAGATCTTGTAATTCAACTCTCGCTTTCAACGCCAAGCCAACCGCGTACGATATCTGAAAAAAAACAGCCATTCCCAAAAAAGGAGGTCACTTGCGAATGCATAATACTGAGGCGAATAAACAGACAGAAACGAGCGCGCCACATAGTGAAACACGCCATCTGAACTGTGGGGGCCAACCAGTATGCAATGGTTAGTTTCGTTGGATTTAGCCACGGTGAAGTGTGTCAACGTGATCGTGAAGGCTCATGTGGCTTGAAAGTGAGAGCGTGGCGCGCAAAAAACTATAAAAGAGGGTGACGCTAAGCGGTTCATTCCTCACTTGACCGTTCGCAGCCTGCACAGTACGTTAGATTTCAGTGCGCTTCACGAAAAGTTACAGTTTGTTGAAATTCATTTGTGCAATTTGTGAAATAGGGTTCGTCGCTTGAGGCGCAGCTACAAAAGTAAGTCTTTTGTTTGGTTACATCAGCTATCTGACCAGATGGCAAAAACTGTGATGTCAAGACGCCACGTTCGAAACAGCCAATGATGGCTACACAAAACAACAAAACTGAAGACTAAAACTAGTTTTAAAAGCGGCTCCAATCGAAAGGTTAACCAGTGCACGGAGTAAAACCTTGTAACAGTTTAGACCATACTCACGCGGAGCGAAAGAACATGTTTGGAAATTCAAATTTACTGCATCTTGACGAATTTATTAATGTTTCGTAACAGTGAGCAGCATCCAAAAGAGAAAAAGAGTCGATAGATAGTAAATAGCACGGATCAAATAAATATATGTATGATATGTAAATTTAATGTAGCTGTACACTTCGGCACGCTTGTATTCTTCGTTACGTTTATTGTGCCATGCTTTATGCAATTGACCTACATTCAAAATTTCATAACGATGTGACATTTTGTCAGCTGCTTGCTAATTTTCGTTTTCCTTTTCATTTCTTTTTTTCCGTTCTCCCCACCCACAGATGCACAACAGTTCCAGTGTCCGAAGAGCAGGGGTCAGTTCGAGGATACGATTCAGTGCGACAAGTACTACGTGTGTGATGAAGGGGTAGCAACGGAGAAGTACTGCCCTGATGGGCTTGTGTTCGACCAATCTATCAAACTGGTGAACAAATGCGACCAGCCCTTCAATGTTGATTGCGGCGATCGGTTGGAATTGCGTAAGTATATATTGAGTGTGCCCTTTTCGTGACGTGTTATGCAATTCTTGGCCTATAGAGAAGGCCTTTAGTTGGAACTGTAATTGCTATGCAAAAACTTCTCTACTTTTAATTGAAAGTTTAACATTTGAAAAAAAAAACTGGAATGGTCCAAAATTCAAATGAATTAGATACCTCTAGCATATTGTTGTTGACCTCAGGATGGTTGTGAATCAAATGTTTTCTTACTTTAAATCTTGCTAGTGAATACAGAGCTATATTATCTGATTCCATGGTTGACTATATTGATAATGTTCTTCTCCGATGCTCACTGTTTCTCCCATGCCAAATTTATCCTGCATGAAATTCATTGCTTAAGAAGAACATAATGAATCATAGAGTTTAAAAACCAGCATATTTTTTAATGATTTTTATTTAACAGTTTGCAATATATTTAGTTGTAGCCCTTGATCATATAAATATGAGGAAGGAAATAATCTTTTTAAATATAAAAAAAGCTAATCAGTTATTCATTTGCGGCAGTTACTCTAGCGTCAAATACTAAAGATGAATAAGATTCTTCAAATGCATTTAAATTGCATCCACGTGCATTTGACTTTTCTTGATATCTATATATTGCACAATTTTGACAGATAATTATTAAGGTATATGAATTTTTCCCCACACTGCTCGATTGATTTAAAAAAACATTAACTATCTACTGCCTCAATTATTGATTTAATATGAAAAAAATTACATTATTTTTAGAGTTGGTTGGAAATGCTATCTAACATGAAGCTTTAGTGTGATAATTTATTAGCTGATCTGGTCTTAGAAGAGAGTAGGTAGATAGTTCCGTTAGAGTACGGCAGTATGAAAATTGAATAGAATGTGAAAATGAGTGAAGGGCCATTAATGCTACAGTGCCAGTCAAACGCACACTTCTTTGCCTATCTACCTACTCTCTTCTAAGATCATTCTCTAGCTAATAAATCAACACACTAAAGCTTCATGTTAGATAGCATTCCTAACCAACTCTTAAAATCGCAAACTTCGCGTAAGAAGTAACATAAAAACACTTTGAATATATTATTTTATTCAAAATCAATTTACCTTTTCATGATCATTATTTGTAAATATCTCAGTTTTCGATTTTCAATCAAATTTGGCCAGCTAAAACTAGAATTTAAATGCAAGTTCTGTGCAAAATTTCAGAATAATCTGTTCACTTTAAATGTCAATACGATGAAATTTTTACCGTTCATAACATTTTTTTTTTCAATTTAACTGAAAATTACTGATCAAGATAACTTTGAAGAATTATTTAATTAATTTACGTTATAGTAAATTTATTTTTTAATGTTTTTCTTTACTCACAAAACGTATATTCGTTGAAGGCCAATAAAAGAGCGTCATGCAGAAAACTCAAATTTAGGAATCGAAGCTTTAATGCCACAAATTTGGCCACACTTTAAAAAGATCAATCGCTTCGTGACTTAAATCAAAATTGAAACAAACCAAATTCGCTGAAAAGCTGTTGATTGCATCAAAAACATATTTGATAAAGCTTTGCATTCTTTGGCTAAATTGTTCCACCACGGTAATATTTCCGAGTACCTATTCCTATATAAGGAAAAAGTAATTCTATAAAAGGATTAAATTATAATAATTACCCTAAAATTTTGCGTGACAGTTGCTCTGCTCGTTTGAATACACTGATTGACAGTTCTATTGGATACGTCAAATCGACATCTGCATGTTTATAACTCTACTGTCTACCCGTGCAAAGTCGGATATCAAAATAATATCAAAATGATATCAAATTATGTTTTTGAAATCATATTGCTAACATATGATGATATACTATTTTTTAATTTCAGTTGAGTTTTTATTTTGATATTTTTTTGATATTTCTAAAAAGTATAATTAAAACCCAAATTTGATAATTTTTTAAAAAAGCATCCACATTTATCACTGAAATCTACATGTCACAAAGACAATTCGATTCTCTTCGTCGACATTCTCGTTCGTTAATAGCTTGAGTACAAAACCGTTTCTTGTTGTGTTTGTCGTATTAGATGCAAGATAAAATCTTCTTTTACAGATCTGTGTGTTGAAAATACCTGGGAATGTTTTTACATGGCCGTGGAAAGTCGACGAAGAGAATCTGCCAATGTTACTTAGGACCTAAAGCAATGCTTAGTTTGAATTATGATTTGTACAGTTATATTTTATAACATTTATTGATCTTAATCTACCTGCGAATTCAATTTACTAATCGATATAAGATAGATATCGATAGAACTGATTGAAGTATAGGTTTGTTTTTATTTTGAATAAATGAAAACTTATTGATAGCATTTTTTGATTTTGAATCTTGATATCAACCAATAGATTTCAAAACATTCAGATTATTAAATTTGATATCATGATATCAAAATAATAACCAATTTAGTTTTTTTTTTTAATTTTTTGTTTTCCTGCCATAGTTATAATAACATATTGATTACTTATTTTGTTTACAATTAACGAAATTACTGATATTAAAACGCATACATGGATTTGTTATCAAGAAAACATGATTTGTTATCTTTTTGATATCCTTCATTTTCATTATCTGCTCGGGTATACTAGTGGGTATCCATTTAAATGACCCACGGGCTATTTCTCCCATATAAAGTGGTGTTTATTAAAGAAATTGCTGTACGAACTGTCAGAATTCTATGGATTTACACTTTGCATTAGTGTTCGTGAGAGTCTGCTTTGAAAACTCAATTGTATTCTCGATTATATCGGACATTATAATAATGAATTAAATACACACTTTAGTCTGACTTAGATGATTCAATTCGGCGTTCAACTCACTTGAACTGTGCAATGAACTGTCTGCTAGTTGATGTTGACCTGTTGCAGTTCGCTTTCAAATAACTTTAATACCAACTACTTGATCCAATTGATTCAACTCACACGAACCATGTATGTGGACCTTTATTTTTGAATTCTACATTTTTACTTCGCATTTGTCATTCATGATACGTATTATCGGTGATAATTACTCAACATCTTCGTACTTTATGGGCCGCCCTAACAGGGGGGGGGGTTTAACTTTAAATCATAATTTCTTACAATTGAGAGGGGGGTCTAATAATCACAAACCCGTTCAAAATTTGTGGATGGCCTTTTACAGTAAGCTGCAGATAAACAGCAAAAAAATAATTTTAATATCACATCAAAGTGGATGCACTTCAATAGTGTCGAAAATATGGTGTAATATTACTTGCCAAAAAGGAACAAAATTATCATTAATACAGTGGATGAATTGACATTACGCTGCTTATACTGCATTTGTTTATTGATGAGGCCATAAAAATTACATGAGATTTTCGACGTGATTGTTTGCTGTATATTTGCAACCCCTGTGCAAAACAAAAGCTATTGTAAATGATTTTTATTGCAGCAATATTCGAAATACTCTCCGTGGTGACTCATCCCGGGAAACAGTAATCTTTTACGGTAATTTTCACTGAAAATTCAAGAGCTCCGTCTCTCGAAGCTGGTGAAGGTTCTTTTCATCTCGAGCACACTGAGGAGAATAACAAATCTGGTTCCTTTGACCGTCTTCGAAGAGCCTTTCTGAGTTTCCAACGCTTCTCTGAGGTGTTCCCTTAGTCATTCTGATATTCCCTAAACTACAATGAAGTTCCGTAAGTTTCAGTAAATTTCACTGAATTTCTCTGAAGTCCTTTGTTTAACGTCCTGGATTTTCCTCTAATTTTTTTTTCAAACTTCACTGATGTCCTCTGAAATACATCCGGATGTTTTTAACATTTTTTTAAGATCCGTGTGCTTCTTTATAATCAGTGGAATTTCTCTTAGGTACAAAAGTGAGCAAGCAGTAAGGCACTCATATTTGAGAAGTTATATCGAGTAAGCTTGCTATCTATATTTTACATAATCACTCTGCTACAACTCTGCCGAAGACCACTTTGAAAATAATCGTCATATAAATGAGTTATTAATGAAGAAGTGTTTAATGGAAAGCAGTAGATTATTAAATTAAAAGTCGGCTTCAAAGTCAATAATAAATACAATCACCCTTAATGCAAGATAACTAATTGAAAAATAAAACTTTCAGAGGAACCCCAGGGAACTACCGACTATTGCCCACGTAAGAATGGTTTCTTCAGCCATCCGGATCCAACCATCTGCAATGTATTCTACAGTTGCATCAACGGGGAAGAAGTGGAAATGAAATGCACAGGAAGCCTTCATTTCGATGAAAAGTCCGGAACTTGTGTCTGGCAAGATGTGGCTGCCCGTACTGGATGCGCTACCAACAGTTACAGTAAGTTTACATTTCTTCTCCTCCATATTGTTCCATACGGAAGAACTGACCAATTTATTATACTTAAATCATAGAGCAACTTAGTGATGGCTTCGCGTGCCCCAAGGAGACCCGTTTCGACAAAAATGGTCTAACCATCACCCACCCCAACTACCCTCACCCGACGGATTGCTCTCGTTTCTACTACTGCCTGAATGGAAACGAGCCACGTCAGGGACAGTGTGATGCTGGACTTGTCTACAACGAAGACGTTCAGCGTTGTGACTCCCCGGAAAATGTTCCGGAATGGTAAGTAGCAGAGCACTCTTATCTCTGATTTTGACTGAATCATAACTTTTTTATATCTTTCTAAATTCCATTTTTTTTTTTTTTCATCTTACAGCAAAGACTGGTATAAGGATGAGGATGATAAGAAGGCACACTAAGTGGGTGAATCTGCCGAAAATGCCATGTGTGTCCTCTCGTTCTGAGATGTGCTGATGATGAATGAGTATGTGTGTGATGTGTGCCAGATGAGCGGGGTAATACCGAAACGGATTGTACCCAACGCCTGTTTCTACAAACTTGCCTTTTCAGATTGAACAAAAAGCAAAGCAAATAGCTTATAAAATGATTTTAATGGTAGCATAATGATTTGTGATTTCAAAAGTAGATTTTTGTGTAAACGAAACTCGACAAATTTTTGTACATGTAGAAAAAATGTATTAACAATCAAATCTCTTTCGAAACTATTAACTCACACTCTTTCTTTTACTGTCTAACCCTTCACCTGTCTTACGCCACTACATCTAAACTGTTTTCGGTGCATGCTAAAACCTCCTTCGAAACCCCTTTCCACCTGTTGCATAACCATTTATAAATCTCCTACGTTGCTTGAACCTACTCTCTACTTAATCGATGGATTCATATAAAGACTTGAAGTTTTTCAACTGACACAACGGGTTGTTTTGTTCTTTGTAACTTGCATTTATTAGTCTGCAATGCACTCTTTATATCCACTCTCGATCTGCCTTTGGTTTCCTAAGATTGGTATCTTAAAATTTCCATTCATTCTCCTGTCGTCATATCCGTAGTGTTTATAAGCAGTACTGATTCACTTTTCATCAATAATACCTGCAAAATATGTTAAAGTGCTACTAACAAACTCAACATAAAACGATTATATGATGTTAGGCATCTTGGTAGTGAACAGTACATACTTCGTACTATATTATGTAAAAATTGATTCTTATTATCGCACATTGAAAAATCTGTGAATATCTTTGTGAATGTATTTGCCTTGTACTTAACTACAGATCACCTTACAGAGCTCGATGCTTGCATAGCCCTAGTAGGACGTAAATTGGTTGAAGAAACTTCTATCACACTCTAAACAATTTGATACAGCTTTGCGTGACTGAAGTTTACAACCAATGACAGCACTGGTAGCATTTTACAGCAGAATTTAATTTCTTCATACTTTCTAAACTCTGTACTCAACAATCTATCTCTGATCTTGTACTCCAATCTAATGCTTATTTTCTTGAATTAAATATTATTGTTTAGTATCCTTCTTAATCGTCATTAAAACTCAATCCAACAACCTGCACGATCCAACAACAAGAACGATCAAATAAAAAACTTTTGCCAACTTTTGATGGGTGATAGAACACTGATGAATAGGGATGGAAGAAGAGAACACTTAGTTATAAAGTTTTCTTCGCCACGTTAGATTTCTTCACACAATCTAATGAATGAGATCTGATGCACTTATACATGAAAATTAGACCCATTGCATTGATATGAATTACCTGGTTTCCAGTTTATATGATTCATAGACCATTTTTGGCTTTTCCTTCTATATTGCATAGTCCCAAATACGGAACACTAAAGTCAATCCGAGGAACATAAACAGAACCTGATTATGACGTAAGTTTACCATAGAAATAAATATTCGACATAAAGATAGATGGGCATGATGATTTCAATAATAAGAGGTACGCTGGTAGCTAAAAACCTATATATAAAACGATTTGTTCGAAAATCAAATCAAACCATCGATCTGTGGAGAGTTACACTTCGTAATTTTATGATGATAAAATAATCATCTTATTATCCTCTCCTTGGGTAAAATATTCGTGCACATTTTATTTTTAGTATAAGTTAATTATTTTAGAACTAATTTATGCAGATCAGTTATTACTCTAGTTTAGTTAGGTTGAAAACTGTATCCGCACCTAACTAAGCTTCACCAAACTCTATCACTAACAAATATATCTTTTCTGAATCTTTATTCAATCTTCATACTTTTCTACATTTTTGAACTATGCTCTTATATTCTTTGTTTTCCAACTTCATTAGGTTGCACTATATGTATTTTATGTATTATATATTTCTACATGGTCACTTATTTTTCCATGGTGATTATGAATTCCTTTTTCTATGTCTCTATTTCTTTCACGAATGTTTCATTTCCAATCAATCTGTCAATTAGTGAATAGTATTCTGTTTACCATAATTTGTCTATTTGGATCATGCTAAGCAAAATGTAGCATATCAAAACATGCTTTGCAATAGGGTAAATATTGTGTATTTTTGTTAACCACAATTTTTCAACACGTCATTTGAATTTACCATTTTGCTTAGATTAAAAAAACCAGCAAAGTTAACTGCCCATAAAAATCTACGTTTAAATATTGTATTCGAAACTTCTTCTACTTTTTTTTCTGTAACCAACTACAATCCATCCAAACATTCTATCTTTACATATGTGTTTCTTCTTTTTCTATTCAATTTGAATGCATTCTAATTTATCTATTATTTGAATTTTCAGTCTATATCTGAAATTTCTATTGTTTTCTACTTCACACCTTTTCTATCTTACCTTGTATCTTATTATGTTTTTATTATCTGTTCAATACTATTCTGTAGTACTATTGAACATTCAAGTATTCACATCAGTTGACTTCTACGTAAATTGTACCAATAATTCTGATTCATAATATTTTCTACTTTACACGTTCTTTTTCTAGCCTTCTTTATTATATCCTAGCTTTTTTGAGCTTCGCTATTCTTTACAATACTATTCTATTAAATAATACTATTTATTACATTCTTCTTTTTCTATACTATTCTTCACTATACTTAACTGAACTATTCTGTACTGAACTTTTCTTTACTATATTATTATATTCTTCTACTATACTTTAACTTGTACTCATCATTTGAATTCTACGTATATTTTTCCGATAAATTTTGGATAGTTCAAAGATAAGAATTGAAAATATTGGCCTCCATTTTTTGTACTTTAATTTATCTAGATTAAGAACTTTCTCTACATGTAATTTTAAGCAGTAGAAGTTAATGCTACTAAACTTATCAAAGTTTACTTGAACTTGAAGCCATTTCTGACACTCGCAGATATATTTCAATTCTACTGAACTATTCCACTATAGTTGATGCTGTTCTACTTACAACTATTACGAAAATTATTCTAATAAATATATGTTTAATACATATATATATTTTCTCAATTCTTCTCAAACTCTTCGATTATTTTCTCCTGATAAATTCAAATTTCATACTATTTGATTCCTTCGTGTCACATTTTTTAAATCTAATACTTCAGTTCCATTACATTTAATACTGATCAATTAATTGCTTTTGTATTCGTTCTCGTTTTGAATTGAGTTTTTCTGATCCATTCTACACTTTTATGCAATATATATTAAGGCCTAAACTTCAAATTTTTTTTGAAAATTGATCGTCGTATTATGCTAATAATAACAAATCAAAATTCTATAAAATTCTGCTTGATTTTCTACAACTTTACTCCATTAATTATTATTATATTCAATTCTTTTTCACAGTTTCATACTATGTTTCCCTATTCAGTTCTATTTTATTGTGTTTTATTCTACGTTATTCTATTATTATCTATTCTATTTTATTCTATTCAGTAATATTTTAGTTTATTATATCATGTCTTTTTTTTTTAATTCTATTTGATTTTGTTCAATTTTATTACATTTCAATCAATTCTTTGCATCAATTCAATTCTATTATGTTATATTTTATTCTTTTCTATTGAGCTCTATTCTACTTTATTCTATTCTACTCTACTCATCTGTATTTAATTCTATTTTGCTTCATTCTTTCTGATTCTACTTTTTTGTATTCTATACTATGCTATATCCTATTTTATGCTATACCTTTTTTATATTCAATGTTGTTCAATGTTTTTTTTTTCATTTCTTTTGTTGTTTTGTTGTTTAATTCTATTTTATTTTATTATGATCTATTCTATTTCATTCTATTTCATTCTATTTCCCCCCAAGTAACCACGAAGCCCGCTAACTACCCGATAATCGCCCTTTTTGCGATATAGGGTAATTTAGGATTTTCAACCTTTAAATCAGTCATACATCAGCCTTATATTGCAAAAAGGGCGATTAGCGGGCTTGTTGGTTGCTTGGGTCTCCTATTCTGTTCTATTAAATTATTATCTTTTCTAAGCAAACTGATATCACCTATTTGAAGGAGGTCCTTTTGATAGCGAATAGCTGCTTTTCTCATTTTCATCAAAAATGTTCAATTGATGTTGATAATTTGCTGTCCAACTACTCTCTCATAAATATGAAATCTCTCTCTCCTTTGTGTCTTTCTCCTTCCAAATATAAGGGACGTACTCCCTTACTTTAGAGTAGCACCAGTGTTTTTTGCACCACTCTGAGTTTTTAGTCAATCCCTGGTATTATGTATGCTCCACATCTCTCTCTCTCTCTCTCTCTCTCTCTCTCTCTCTCTCTCTCTCTCTCTCTCTCTCTCTCTCTCTCTCTCTCTCTCTCTCTCTCTCTCTCTCTCTCTCTCTCTCCCTCTCTCTCTCTCTCTCTCTATCTATCTATCTATCTCTCTCTTCAATTGTACGATTTTATACTTTTTCTTTACATCTATTATATTCTTCAATATTCAGTTTTTCTTTAATTTGACCTGCTACTTTCTTTTGTACTCTGTTCTATACTACTTGATTGTATCAAATTCCATGTTGTTTCATTCTAATTGATTGAATAGTTTTGTATTGCATACTACACTAACATATCCTTTTCTAGTTCATTGGATATAACTCAATCATTTCTGCTCTTTTACTGTCACACAGAACATATTCTTTTTCCAATCTAAATTTTCTTTTTACGTTTATTTCCTTGATAATAAATATTACTCGATACTAGATACTTTCATCCTGTTCCAGTCTTTTCAAGTTATATTAATCTAGTTCAATACTCTTCAATGCTTTTAATTTTCACTCTCTTTTAATGTGGGTTTTTCCTTTACCATTACACTCTTGAATTCAAATCTACGGGTTCTATTTTGCGTTCTACTCTACTTCTTTTCTTCTTTTCCACTAAAAATTTATCTCTCTCTTTATCATATTGTTTTTCCTCTTACCTGTGACCAAAAAGCTCTCTTTATTTCAATTCTACTTAACAGCCTTACTTATTCTGCTCTTCTCCTACTGTTAAAAAAAATATTTTCAGCTTCTTTTAATTCCTGTAATTTATACCACATACCACAGTAATAAAATGCCCGTAAATCCTTCTCGAAATTAATTCGGTAGTTTTTACATATATTATTGTTTCTCAATATATGATTTTATATATTCTAAAGTTACTAAGAAGGGGTGAAAACACTTTCATATTTTTTCCGTCTGATTTGTTGTAACAATTTTTTTTTCTTAAATTCTATTCTAATCTGCTTCAGTCTAATACATTTCATTCTAAGTTTCTTTGCTCTATTCTATTATTTCTATTATCTTCTATTCTATACTATTCAATATTTATCATATATGTAAAATGCTATTCTATTAATTTCTATCCTTTTATTTTTTTTATTATATGCTGTTCTATTCTATTATATTCTGTTATGTACTATTATTGTCTACTCTTAAGAAATTTAAATCTGTTCAATTATGTTCCATTCTTTACTCAATATTTTGCATTAGATTTTATTCTATTCTATTTAACTCTGTTTAATTCTATTATATTATAATCTGCCCTGTTGTCTGTTCGAATATTCCTACTGCAATATGTTCCATTCCAATTCTATTCTTTTGCATCTATTCAAATCTATTCTACTCTACTTTATATATTTTATGCACTTTTTTTCCAATTCTTTTAAGATTTTATTCTATTTAACTTTATTTAATAGAATTCGATTGAACTCTTGATTTTTTTCCCATTTGACTCGTATTTTGTAAATATGTACCTTGTTAAAATCGTAATATTGTGTAAAATCATGACGATTTGTTTGAGTGCTCCGCCGTTTTATTCAGTTTTATTTTGATTTATTATAAAGCTATTATAAAATCAATAATGAATTAACTAGTTGCACTCTTCATAACTACATTTCTGATTTCTTTAAATATGATATTAATTTGCTTCACATATTCTGAACAAAACACCTTTGTATCCTCATTCTATTCTGTACAAATCTGATTCACACGCTTTATTCTTTTTCTATTCTATTTTTATTCTGTTATTATTCATTCCTGACGCAATCTGATCTTCTATACTTTTTTTCCTTTTCTTTACTATTCTGATCTTTTATATGCTTTCAACTTACATCTGTTTCTGTGATGTATTTTAAGGAATATATTCTCTTCAATATTTATTCAATTTAATTTCCACTTTATGCTATTAATACGTTATAGAAGTTCATAGTTATAAGTTATCAACATGAACAAAACTTGGACCCACCATCTCTTACCTTCACTTCTTTACTTTCACTGATTTCACAAACGTATCTAGGTACTAATCGTTGACAACAAATACTCTCAATATTCTCTACTCAATCTCGATCTCAACTACTTCTCCATTTATCTAACTGTCACAAAGATCTCATATTAGCTGCATTATTGCGATATCAACTATAATTTTTCAATTCCTATTATTCTTAGCTGTGATAGATTCTCTACTTTAATTAACTAGTAATAACTGATTTTTCCTAACACCGTCAAATTGATTCGATGTCCCAAAAAATAAAAGCCGTAGGCATCAAAACCAATATTTTCATTGCACGAAATCAATATAAATCACCACAAAATATTAAATTTATTTTAATTTTATTTTTTGTAATATCACAAATCCTCAAAAGCTATCGAAATAAAAAAAAAACCTCAGTCATTAAGCCACTGCTCCACTGATGCATAGGCCCAATGAGAATTATTTCCATTCTGGGTCACCCTTACCTGGGTTCTGGTAAAATGTCTGTAGGCTTGCTCGATTTTTTTTTGCTGATGCTCCGCCATCGTGAACCGCTAGGTCTGCCTCTGCTGCAATATCCTGGTAAATATTCGAGATCCAATTGTGAGGTCACCAAGTCTCAGGCTACAGTGGATGAATACCTGCAGTTTATGAGAGTTCTCCGCCCATACGCACCAGGTATCGCTGGTGTGTTGCAATTTTGGTGCGTTTGATCTATGCGATGCTGCTATGTCGCACTTGGGCCAAGATATTGAAAACCTTTAACTTCTCCACTACTAGCCCTGCTACTGTAATATTGTCGGGGGTTATTCCGAGAGTCGAAGTGACTTTTGTCACTAGTGAAGTGAGAAAAGTCACGTCGTGGTGACGTGACTCTCTGTGCAAATCAAATGGAGAGTCACGTCACCACGACGTGACTTTCCTCACTTCACTGGTGACAAAAGTCACTTCGACTCTCGGAATAACCCCCGTCGTGTTGACATCCAATAACCTAGTCTTATTGTAATAGCAGGTGAGACCCACCGTAGAGGAGCTTTCAGCTAGGTCGTTGAGTGCATATCAGAGTGCCTTTGTGCTAATAGAACAATTTAATTATTCAAATTGAAGTCATAGGCTGCCAACCAGGTGTTGTGAGTAATCGTAGAGGAGACGAATATGGTCAGTTGTTGCGACTTTTTCCCCTTCGTCAGTCAGAGGGAATTCACCCGCTCTCGATTTTCCTGTCTGCAGGAACGCTTTTCTTTGCTAGAGCCGTTCTGAGTTCTCGTCCACTCTATTTCGGCTTTTGCTTCTCTCAGCTCTTCAATCATCCACCAGGTTTCATCCATGATCCACTCTCTTCTCTGAGTGCGCACCTCATCCAGCTTGTTCTCACTCTTTTCAATAGATGCATTCTTGATGGTCTTCCATTGTACTTCTCCGTTCCTACCTTCTGGAACACCCTCTACTCTGGTCTACAAGCGCGAACAACCTTTTCGCTATTGGATCTTATAGTTGGTAATTGTTTCCCCGCCCAAGTCTCTTCTCCCTCCTCCTACGGACGGATCTTTCCGATAAGAAGGTTAGACGAGATGTCGGTGCTGTGGTTATTCTGGACACCTGGCTGCATCTTCATTTTTGGTTGGCGATGTGATGCATCGGTATGTCCATCACGGGAAACCCTCGTGACTTGGTGCACTGGACGATGGGGAAATAGCGATCCCACAATTGTCATAAAACTCTGCAAATAGCTTACCGTTTTCATTCAATTCTCAAAGAATGTTTAGATTATACCAACTCTGATTTGCATTAAACTTTGCACAATTGTTTGTTATAAGAAAATTATTCACATTTGTGATAAACTTCGGTAATTTTAAGTCTTACAATTTTTTTTCAAAATGGAGTATTCGTCCTTTTTCAATAAAGCACAAAAACGACACATCTCATCGAAGTGACGTATGAGACAATTTGTAGAGAAAAATAAAGTTTTCCTAGGAAAAATATAAACCGTATTTTTAGTAATGTTCAAAAAAGTGTTAAAAATTAAAATAACAACTAAATTTCAATAATTTTGTTTTCCTTTAATGCTTATGAAAAATGCAAACTTTTGATTTATAGAAAAATCCAAGCATAAACCCAAATAGATAAAAATTGACAAAAATCTTTAAACAACTACATTTGGTAGAGTTTTTGAAAATTTTGTTAGTATGGTTAAAAATATTTTTTCGTTAACGCTCGTTACATAAAAATGGTTACCACTACACCTATTGCCTGTAATCTGGCAAAATGCTAATATTACACGAACTGAATTTCGTACGGACCAGCAAACTGCTACTACAGACAAACAGACGCATTGAATATTTTTCACTGTAAAACATCGACACCAAAATGCTACCGTCATCTCTTGAGTACATTATCATGGGTAGCACGCTCAACAGATGGCGGTAGTGTTTAAACATCAAACGCAAGGAAAATGACTCTGCGCACTACAGTCAGCAGTACCAACCGGTGGAAACTAACGATTTTAAATTGACTCACACTTAACTAGGTTGTCGATCCCAAGTACATCGATTAACGTACCCCATTCTAGTCGAAATTCTACTACTACACTATGTTTTTTTGAAGGCTACGTGGATTTTCCTATGTTTCGACGGATGCATCGATTAGCTTAGGACCGAAGAGAGTACCAAAGCGTAATTAAAAAAGTTGAGCACGTTTCTTCGGGACCTTCTGGTCTGGTTATGGCAGTACTACCAACTAAAAAAAATTGACCGTTGAATGCGTGTATGAAGAAACGAATTCTAGTATTATATCTGCTTGTCTGTGCCCCTACTCTTTTTGTCTTCTAAGATTCCTGTGTTGAATTTTGTGTGTTGGAAAGGTTTCTCTTGCGGTTATCATCCTAGGTGTCTGCTCATATATTTTGTTGCTGCGAGTGATGCTGATGTGAATGAATTTTCATACAATGCACGTATTTTCTTTAGAATGTTTCCCACCATGTTGCATAGACACGAAAAATTAGTATATATTTTATGAATCATTCTTTCCCAACACGAAATAAAAATCCTCTTTACTGGCATTTATAACGAAACTACTATAATAAAAAGTACGAATCTTTTTCGTTGCAGAAAACAAGAAATGGATTCGTGGGTTAAACGAACGGCCTAAATTTTATTTTCAGTGTATAGGTTGAAAATCATTACCTGTCAGGTTACCCGGTCATACCCGGCACCATTCTGGATGATATCATTTTGTGTTAATTAACTTTATTTTAGTGTCAGATGCCGAACAATGTAGATATTTTTGGAACGGAGATTACATGAAGAGGTTGGAAATCAATGAACGATTCCAGGATTTAGAAATACTTATATGAGGCTTATTTATACTTATTTATAAAAAATACCAACGCTTGATATCAACTGGAAGCAGCCGTTGATTGTCTACCTATCCAGTGAGTCTCTGTTATAATCATATAGAACTCCTGAAGAAGTTTGCCAAAGAACACAACTTTCTAGATGGACGAGATATAAGCACATTTTGCAAATTCTCTGCAAACTATGACTTTCATCCAGAAAGCATTGGCCACCTTAACAACTTGGCCAAAGACGGCAACATCGTAGATGGTGAGCAACTTTCTCGTAGACAAAAACGATCTAGATCGATAGGATCTTGAGCTGAAGGATATAATGGAAGTTTATATGTAACCTTGCGGTGCCTTTTGGTATACTTCGAAGCTGAGACCAATAGGGTTGTCCTTAATTTAAGTGATAAGCCAATCAAGAATCGTTAGTTTACTATTGATTGTTACTATAACCATACAAACCCAACGATGGTGCTCCTCAGATGAAAAGTTAAGCTAAGTTTTCTTTATTAGGGAGGCTTTCAGTCTGGGGCTGGTTCGCCTCCGGAAAATCTCAGATGAGAATAACCCAGGTAACAATTTAATGCTTAACAAGTGTGCTTTCAGTGATTTTAATTCAGCCTCATTTTGATTATTGAACATCTAAACATGGTGATTTTAATCAGCCGAAAGCTTAACAATATAAATTTCAAGCTTTTAAGGCATTACATTACAGTCTTTTTCAATCCTTGTTCTGCCTTATAATTTATTTTTTCAAAAAATCATGGAAGACCGCTTCATGACTTATATTTTTATATAACGCTTTAGCTTACTATAAGTTTAAACATTACCTTAGCATTTCAGGATTCGATTCGGCAGTCGCTGATTTACAGGCGTCAACCATACCTATTGTAAGTGGTCCAGCATATGTATGGCAAATATATTATCATTAACTTAAAGCACGTCAAATTTTACTTGAATAATTGCAACCAGAAGAGTATAAACAGCAATGCAGAATTGTAAACAACAGATGGTGACAGTATAACATTCCTCTCAATTTCAAGTGCAGTAAAAACAATGTGGACAAAATTGCGCGATCTATTTCGATGGTCATTTGGATGCTATTTTAGTGTCATGATTATGCAGTTCAGTTTCCAATGCCTCTGGATACGGTTGTGTTTTAAGTTCTCTATTTTGAGCGTGCGTTCGCATTCATAGTTTTCGGTTGCATTTGCCGGGTTAGCGCTGGCACTCTGCCTCCCAGACGGTTATACGTGTGTGATTGGTGGTTTTCTCGCTTTCCGAGAAGTTTTAGAATCGAGAAAGAAAACATGATTCATCATGTTTGCAAGCAACAGAAAATTTGACGCTATCTGCGTTGTTTGATTTTTTCTCCCGGACCAGAAATTTGTGGCATCGCGAGTGATAATTTTAATTTTAGTTTATTTACGCGGTGATGATGTTGGTTCACTCGCAATTATTTTTGAAAAAAAAAATTAAGTGTGTTCGATCGAAAGTGTACCAAAAGTGCTCCTAAACGTTGTTGCAATAACGACACTTCTGCGGGGATTTGTGCATCCGTCAAACCGGCTAACATGCAAGTAATACGCCAACAAAGTATGAAGTATGGTTTTATGTACACGCCCCTTTATTTGATTGCTGCACCAACATTTTGCCTGTCCCTAATCTGCCTAATGTTCTTTTATATGCTATCACATTCAACTTTTCTACTCACGGACCGTTGGCATATTGGGCTGACGCGTCAACCCCACTGTGCTGATCCAAATGGCTATCACCATCCGAAACTGCTGCTTCTCGCTTCTCATGGGCGTCTCGGGACGCTGTTCGACCAGCCACCTTCCTCTTCCGATGGTCACTCGCGAAGGTCCCTTCATGCGGCGTACCAATCGCCGAGATGTTGTCAAAGATCTGCTTGCGCGAGGACGCCCGCTCCAGGTGGTACCGTTTCCAGCTGCAACTGCACACCACCGCTCGCCATTCAAGAACCCGATTCGGTGCGGGTATGCTTTAACCGTGCGTGTCGGTGTCCGTGCCGCTTCCCGATACGTCAATAAATGAAATCTCCTTAGCTGTGAATTAAATGAAAAAAAGAGTCCTAGTGTTGTAAGATGGCCGGTACCAGAATGTCACGTGCGTGACAGGAAAATTCAGGGTCTTCTCGTCACCCGTCGCGTATCTTGGATTTTTTCTCACTCGCACTGCGACACGTCGCGTGATTATGTCTTCACGGTGTAGCTCACCGCTGCCACCAGGCCTCACCAACTTCCTTGATTGCCGACCGGCTGCTGCCACTTACTCCGCACCAATCGTTCGACGACCTTTCGACTTCAGCCGCGGACACGAACTACTCTGTCGATGATGTTTCGTTGCTTTCGTTCTGCTTTTTAGGCTCTGAACCATTTGGTGGATTATTTTAACTTTTGGTTAAAATTTGACAGATGGAAAGTTATCGATTAACCCTGCTATCCGAGCGTTGTTATTTCTGACAGACAAGAAGTTAAATTTTGACGACCGTGGCTCGAAAACCGGTCGATCGACAGCACGGGGATTTTCGAACATAAGAAATAACTTTCGAAATGTCACTTTTAACTACGAGTTAAATTTAACTCGTGGTTAAAAGTGACATTTCGAAAGTTATTTTCTATGTTCGAAAATCCCTGTGCTGTCGATCGACCGGTTTTCGAGAAGAACTCAGCCAAAGTTGTAAAAATTTAACTTCTTGTCTGTCAGAAGTAACCAAGCTCGGATAGCAGGGTCAATCGATAACTTTCCATCTGTCAAATTTTAACCAAAAGTTAAAATAATCCACCAAATGGTTCAGAGCCTTAGTGTGTGTGCGGCGGAAATCCCAGCGCCTGTCAAACTGCAAGCGAATCTTTGTTCCTTGTTGATGTTTCAAGCGAGACGCCCCTGCAGCACGACGTTTCGGTGATGCACGCTCGATGAAAATACTTCATTTTAATTCCTTGTGTCGGGCTTACACACTAAACTTATTTTCTTCATACTTCTTAAAATACTAACGTAATAACGTGTTTCGCAGTTGGATGTGGTGAAATTCGTGCATTCCCGGTTTAATGTGGAAATTCCGTATCACAAAATTGCCCACCGATTCCTTTTTTGCCGTTCGACGACGATGGGTGTGCTTTCGCGAGAGTGACGTTTATTGGACCCGTTTCTTTGCACGGATGTTTTTTTGTAACTAGCGTAAGTGTGCCTGCGATTGCCTCCCGGGAGGCGGGTTCATCGTGTTCGGATGTCACGCTTTCATCATGTAGCTCTATCGAGAGTCTCGTCACCGTGTGCGAGTTTGAACACGGTCCGGTTGGCAAATTAGCCGGGCAAAGTGCTGATAATGTATCCGTCGCGAGTTTTGGTGGTGATTCGGTGGTCGACGTTACCGTGAATCAGCGAGTTTACGGCTTACAAAAGTGATCGTTTGCTGGTCAGTGTAATGCCGCGGATACACTTGTATGGCAAACTTTAAACATGAGCATTATTTATATAATAAACTATGACACATCCCTGGTTTGGTTCTAATTTCGGCGTTGGTCACGAGTTGATTGGGCCGGTGAGGAGCTGCCGTCGCGAGTGATTGGTGATGGAAAGTGGATGCAGTCCTTTTTTCTCTGCGGAGATCTCTCTAGAGTGTATTTCGTGGTTGATGGGGTTTGCTCTGCTGTGTGAAAACCGAAAGGCGAGAGTGCTGTTTTTAACACCGGTTGAAGAAGTAGCGGCAGCATATCTATTGGAGCTCTTCGAAATCATCGTGATGTCATGGATTCATATCGGGTGAGATCTTTCCTTTATTTTTCTCGTAATCCCATTTTATTGTTAGTCATGTTAGTTATACATCGCACTTTACACTTTACATTTATTTCCATATTTACATCCTTACATTATTAGTAATTAGAGATAAAAATATATATTTGCTTAATATAACCTTGAAATTTCAGTGTTACATCCACTTGATATTATGAGCTGAGGAAACATAGAGCTGCATCTTATTATATGTAAAATAATTATTATTTTCATTGCAGAATATCAACTATTTTATCCTAGATTTTATCTATATAAATTTATATTCATTATTTCATATTTAATGTTTTGATATATTTCATTTCTCCATTACATATATTTTCATTATATAAATAAATACTGGGTTGGGAGGGAGCATCAGGGTATCATTTGACCTGGGACTGGACGATGGAGTGGTATGACAACCGGAGTCTAGGAGGGAATAAACACCATCATTTTCTTTATCCTACCGATTCGATTGTGGTGGTGTTAATTCTACTTCAACAGTTTCAGTGAGATTGACGAGCCCCTCTTTACAAACCATCCTGTAGGAAGCTTAATAAGTATTGCGAATTGTGTTAGTCGCGATAGTGTTGGATAGTATCGTTGGAAGGAGATTCTTAAATTCCCGTGGATTTCGTGTAAGTGTCTCTGCTTACGGGTCCGCACCTCCGTTTTTGGCCCTTCATACAGCGATATTGTGAATTCAGATCGGTAGCTCAAATTGATCTTGCTATAAAGTGGAGCTGCATACAAGACAAGATCTTTGAAGGGATGGTGGCTACCTTACATACATACATATGATTGCATTATATGCTGGGAATGCGGTCTGAATATTCAGTGATGAACAGTCAAAATACAGGAATGCAAATTTTATAACTTCCGACGTCGTTGCATTCCACTTCTACCTGGAGCTATTCCTAAAAAAACTCCTCTTCCATGTCTCTACGGCTGGCACTGCTTGGGATTAGAAAGGTAGGCAGTGAAATTAAAAGAACTAAAATGCCGGAAATGCAACGCGTGACACTGACGACATTTAATAATATTGTGCAATAGATTCCTATTCTTCTATCAGGTTATCAAAATATTTGTAGTGCATTGCTGATTTGTGGAGTAGCTTAAGCTTGTTCAGCCTACTGCACTACTAATTAATTATGTATTCAGACTGGTGATAATCACCTTTGTTCACCTTAAATCAACCGATAATCTACTTCTGTTCTTCCTGTTCAGTTTGTATTGTTACTTGGGAAGCTACTATGACCGACGATCTTCAAACCAGGAGTCATGAAGCTACGAAAATGCACTTAGGACTTCACTAAATTTAAATTTTACGCTATATTCATTGTTTTGATTTAGTCCTCACGTACACACTTAGAATATTTCACAAATTTCGGTGAAATTTTACCGAAATCTCAACAGCAGAACGTTCGGTAAACAGTTGAAAAATCACCGAACAATCTGTGAAGTTGCATAAAAGTTATCTGTCAAAATTACCGAAAAGTTCTGTGATTTTTCACTGTTTTCCTGTATTTTTTCACCAATATACTGTGATTTTTTTGTTAAAAACTAAATAAATTTACCGAACGATTCGGTATTTTTTTACAATAATTTTGTAAGCTTAGAAGTTATTTCTTTCATTTTTTTTTTTTTATTCAAATGTAATAAATACTGAAATTCATAATATTCTGACTGGTGTCTAAAAGTAAGAAGTATATGATAAACACACGTTTACTTCCGGAACGCAGTCGTACATTTAGACCCTAAATACTTTTTTTTTCTACAAAGCAATCGAAACGTTGAAATGAAAAATTTGTGATAAAGAATCACTTGTAAAAACTTTACTTCGGAAAAAAGTGTCTCTCGGGCGGAAGTGGTCTTTCTTCTAATTATCGTTTTTGTGACAATGAAAACGCTTCACATAACCGGGAACTTTGACGCGGGAGTAAACCAGATTATCGGCTACTAAAACAAAACATAGTGTTAATAATACAAATTTATCATACTTACTAAACATACTGACGAATTTTTAGTTATGCTCCTGTATAGTTTCCAACATTTCTTCCATATTTTTACACTTTCAAAGGATGACATTATAAATTTTGTACAATAACCACAAAAACTGGAACTGTTTAATATGGGACGCAAACAATTGTCAAATGGCTGACATCTGTATTTACAGAAGTTCGGTGAAAAACACAGTATTCTGTAAAAAATAGCTACGTCACCAAACTATCCGTAATTATTTCACAGATTTTTGTAAACTTGTTTGATTTCACCGATTTTTCGGCGAGTTTGTGAAAAAATAGTAGAAAACATTGATTTTACAGAAAAATCTGTAAAGTTTTCGTTTACAGATCAATTTCGGTAATTTTTATCACAGAATTCTGTGATTTATTCTAAGTGTGTAGAGTGGGAACAGAACTTTTAATGCCTTATTTTTTTTTAAATTTTCGTTACTCTATTTTACTGAGTTTTAGTCATTCACCGAAAACTTTCCGAAAAGGGAAGCCGTGATTATGTGTGTATGGTTCGGAAATGCTTCGATTAGGAGTTATTAATTATGTCCTGCTATATTGCATTCCTGGCCCACTGTGCACTGTACATGCCACACAATATTCAAATTTAACTCAACTAATAACTGTGAAAGTGCATCCAAGAACACTGTGTTAAGAGCAGGAAAAACGTTCGAATAAGAAACGTTAAAAGCTAGGAAAGAAGAAAAAGATCTTAATCCAAAGGTATAAAAATATTGTAGCTTGTGGAAGTACTCGATTTTGAATAAATTAATCAATGAATTGATTGTTTTTTTTTAATAGAGTCGCTTACAAAACCTTTTAAAATTATTGAAATATACATTCAGGCATCTTGCAAATCATGACACATAAACATGACAGATAAATGTTAAAAGAGCATTAATGGATCAAGGGTTAATAACAAAAATGTCAAAATGGGTTTTCTCATTTCGGCTAACGAAAACTGGCCTACAGCTATTGACCTCCGAAACAAGCGAAAAACTATGAATTAGATTCACGATTCACCTGAACACATATACAGTAGCATGTTATACTACTGCACTATTGGACCGCAATCGACTCAATCGAAAATGTCTAATTTAGAAAGCATAAAGAAGAATGCAAGGCTGTTCTAGACTCATAAATGTAAACCGTACCAGCAGACATATTCGTTATTTAATGGTGCAGCCCAGAAACACGCAAAGAAAATCTCGTAATAGCACAATCGACACAGCACAGCAGCGATACGCCCGTCTATATGTATCGGGTGATTGGGCACAAAAAAGCATTCATATATGTTCACACACAGTCTATGAGTCAATAATAACGAAACGAAAAAAAAACCGGTCTCCTCCGGCTGGACTGTTTGCATAATTAGCCAACAACGTCGACCCGAACGAGAGTGAAAGAAGGTAATTTTGAACAAATCAGCCTCCAAACTCGAGACAGGCTTGCTCAACGCACATAAAACTAAGAAGGAAAAATGACACCTTCACGATCTAGAAACCGCTTAAGCGATAGTACACTATCGGTGAATGGTCGTCGTTGTGCCCCGGGGGTAGGGTTCCCAATAGGGTTTTAGACCTTAATACAATAGTGTCGACTGCCTTTGAAAATAAACCAAGCATATAATTATATATAACACGATGCCAAAGTATGCATACTGGAAAAAAAATCAGTTCGAAACTGGGCATCTGACCCCATGACTGACCGAAGTAGCTCGATTATGGCAACGGAGTAATTAATTCCTCAGACAACTGCTGCGGAGCGTGCGGGAGTTTGTATTGATATTTGTATGCCGCAGATAGCCGTTAACAAGCTTCAGCAGACCTAGATCTTTCCTTTTCTCACATGTACAACCACTGCAGTATTGATCTGTACATCACATGTCAGCGCCATGTGTGCCGCTAGCTGCTGCACACGGCGTGGTCGCTGTCGTTTTTGTCGCTCCAACAAGGAAGGGGCGTCCAAATCAACAAAAAGAAAGAGGCTCATCAATAGCGACCACTAGTCTGGTAAAAACTTTTGCAGCGTTCAGTTCATCCCTAAAATCCTGTACGGGAGTGCGAGAAACCCTTGTTGAGTACATTTGAACATCATGCACAAATCACTTCTCTTGGTAACTCTGCTGGTCTACGGAGTATGTAAGTAGATTATCATCTCATCCGCCTCGATGTCGATAATCGAGAAGAAAAACCTGTTAACCTTGAAACCAGATGAACCAGTTATGCAAATGGTCGTCAGTAGATGATCGCTGAATAATGTCAACATTTGCATAATGATTGGTTGGTTTTCTGTATTAGGAAGAGAAGAGACGAACCAGCCAGGTGCTGAAAGTCTCTATTATAATGCTAAACTAAACTTTATTAGGGAGACTTTCAGGGATATGCATAATGAGCGGATAGGCAGTATAGAAATAATACTTACCTTTCTTTTCTCGAATATTCAAAACCTGCAGATGCCGCTAACGATGATGACTACTTCGACTTCACCTGCCCCAAAGAGAATGGACAATACGAGGATCCGTATCAATGTGATAAATACTACGAATGCAACGGAGGACGAGCGAAAGAAAAACTTTGTCCCGATGGTCTAGTTTTCGACCCTACAAGTAAACTGCCCACAAAGTGCGATCAACCATTTAACGTGGAATGTAACGAGCGTAAAGAGCTGCGTATGTTGACATTACAATCAATCAAGAATACTTGAATCTAAAATCGTAATATGCCAAATTATAACTTTCAGAGAAATCGAGACCCATAGGCGCTTGTCCACGACAAAATGGGTTCTTTGCTCACCCGGACCCATCCATCTGTAACGTATTCTACAACTGCGTCAGTGGAAGAGAAATTGTGATGACATGCGTTGCTGGACTTCACTTCAACACAAAAACCGGCACCTGCGTTTGGCCGGACATGGCTAACCGCGTTGGTTGTGGAAGTAATGCCAACAGTAAGTTACATCTGGTGCCTAGAAATAGATAAATCAACGATTTATTTATTTTTGACAGAAAAGCTATCGGATGGCTTCCAGTGCCCAACCGATTATCCAAAGGTGGATAAGAATGGCCAAAGCATCACTCATCCCAACTTCCCTCACCCGGAAGACTGTACCAAATTTTATATCTGCCTGAATGGTGTTGAACCAAGACACGGCAATTGTGACGCTGGTCTAGTGTACAACGAGGATCTTCAGCGTTGCGATGATCCCGAAAATGTTCCCGGATGGTAAAGATGCAACCCAGTCACAAAACAACAGTTCGTGGCGGCTTGAGAACTGGTTGTTCCCAGATTGATGGGATTTTGTTTTCACAAATGTTTCGTTTTCTAAGCAAACATTCGAAAAGCTGCCACGAACTGTTTATGTCATAACTCACAATGATACTCTTTCTTTACAGCGAGGATTGGTACACTCAAGCCGCAAACCCGGAGAACTAGACATGGTTTCTTCAATTTTACGAAGATTAGTTTACATTAGAGATAACACCGTAGAATCATAGGACCAATCAGTTTAATGATTAACATAAGCTAAACAGTCATTGTACCTTTTTTATATTATCAGAGATTTATCTACTTACAAATAAACTTTAAGAATATTGTTGAATTTAACCTAAGTTAGAAACATTTTCCTCATATTTTAGACCAAAAGAAAATATCCTGCAAATAATGGATAAGGTTTAATACTGTCGAGGACACTTTTCGTGAGACTTATGGACGTGGTTTATAGACAACCCTTGTAAGATTTTTTTTTTCTCTCTCTCTCTCTCTCTCTCTCTCTTTATCTGTTCAACACTCATTATCTCTCATTCTCAAACTCTCACTGCATCTACCGCTGTAAGGATTCTGAGTGCAACATATATATTTTAATTCAAGGCAATGCTATATACCTCGAGAACGAGTAACGATATCACAAAACGGACAAAATTAAGACTTAAGGATCACAAAACCACGTGTTTACTTATAGATACAAATATTTAATTACAAATAATTCAGCAAGCAATAGGTCTTCCGTCACAATGTAGCGTTTTTTCGGCGGAGGCCTTTGCAATCAAGTCGGCCGTCATCGCTGCAAGAGCATCAACCGAATGTGTTATAATTCTGTCTGATTCGGCCAGCTGTCTTTCGGCCATAGAGAGTGGTAGATCGCAGCATCCGTGGATCCAGGAAATCGAGCGCTTACTACGTGGACGGCCGATCCACCTTTGTTGGATCCCTGGTCATGCCGGAATTCGCGGTAACGAAGAAGCAGACCGTCTAGCCAGTGAAGCACGAAACAGTCCACCAATCAACGTTGCCGTACCAAGAATTGATTCCATCAAGAACATGAACCAAGTCTTTCGTCAGCTATGGGAAGCACGTTGGGCACAATTGACAGATGTGAAGCTGAAGGAGGTCAAAAGGGAAACGAAGAAGTCGATCGATCAGTACAGCTCTGCCGATCAACGCATACTCACTCGTCTGCGCATTGGTCATACTAGGGTTACGCATGAATTGTTGCTGAAGAAAACAGCTCCGCCAGCATGTGAATGCGGTGGGACCGTTGTTGACGTTCGTCACATTATTCTGCACTGCAGAAAATTTGAAGCGGCCAGGACGAAATACGGAATCGAGGTGTTCGGTTTTGGAATCGGAACTGTGAGGCTGTGCCTCAACCTTCTACCACAATGATTCACACGTTACCATGATTCTGTACTTATAGGAAATTATCTCAACTACAACCCTATCCATTGAATCATGCATCATACTTCATGGGGTTACTCATGTTTGACGGATTTTAAAAAACGAAAAAATTTAAATACACATCAGCCACACATCGTTTCTACTACATGCTCCGATCGTCTTTCAGTATTTCAGAAAGTTGTAAGGCATACAGTTTTCTATCATAAACGGTGTTACGATCTACACTTGGTCGACTTAAACTTGACGCATCAACACTTTGCACGCACATCGCAAAAATCCGAGTGTTATACGGCAACCCGCAAGGGAAAGGTGTCAGACATTTCCAATCATTTGCAACTGTCAAAGTTCACTAAGAAGTATCTAGTTTGGCAGGCTATCTGTACCTGTGCCATGAAAGCGACATTTGCATTGCAACGGGTGTCTGGAAAACCGTATGCCTGCCTTTTTTGGCCGAATTCGGTATCCTGCCATTACGGAAAAAGGTCATGGAGTGGTATGCTGCCAACAACGTGTAGGTGGTGCCCAAGGACAAGAACCCTCCCAACACACCACAGCTCCGCGGCGATCAAAGTGGACAAGGTGGATGTACATCTGATGGTAGGAGTTAAACGAAAGGCCCGGCAACCGGAAGCTTAGCTTAATATTGGTTCTGTATTTTATACTTAATGAACTTTAAAAATAAAAATTATTTGATTTTTTAATAAAAAAAAATTAATCAATTACACGCATTCTTGTTTGACCAAATTTCAATGCCACCTAGCGACAAACTTTGAAATTATGTTTCTTTATACGTTTTAACTCGCAAAAAATAATTTCAAATTTATTTTTTGCTGAGTTTTAAAGTATTTCTATTTTAGCATTTTGTCAGTAAATTCATCAAAAATGTTCATTTACTGGTAGTTAAAGATTTTTTTTTTTGATTCCATGCGATGGGTAGGATTAAATTGATTCAAATTTTTAACGATTTTTATTTAGGGAAGAGGGGCTCTCTTGGTCTGCAGATTCCGTGTTCATGTCCAGAGCTCTACAATAGGCAATGTAAGTGAATGGTTTTGCTTAAAAATCAGTGAAATATCTGGAAGTCGATGCAGGAGTGCAGAAAAGCCCAATTCCATGGTAGTTTCAGCGCTCCTGCATTGGCTTTCAGCTGTTTCACTTATTTTCATCTTGATTTTCACAAAGGTTTTCTCGAGGGTTTTCTGTTATCACACAGAGATTTCCGAGATAAAGTGCGCGAGGTGAAACGGAAAAGGAGGAAGCAAGCAAGTTGACTTACTGATGAGTCAGCTATTTCCAAATGTCGTTTGATGATTGTTCAGTAAAACATAATGAATATTGAAAACTGGATACTATATTTTACTGAGTTTTAGTCATTCACCGTAAATCTGTCATTTTATGGAAAATTCAGTACTTGCTTTTACCGTATTCAGTAGTTTGTCGTAAAAGCAACTGAACATCAGTAGTTTTATTGAGAATAGCTGAATGTTTGGTATTTTTTGCGATTTACAGTTCAAAAACTGTAAAATATGCCGAACAGGGAAGCCGTAATAGCTTTTTTTTTTAATAACTTTGAATTTTGGGAGCATTCGTCCAATTTAAAATGAGATTTGATTGTGTACTCGACTAAACTAACAATCAACAATAGGTCACATAAAAAGTTCATTTATTTTTTTAATTTGTAATGTTACACTGTGTTCACTGTGTTATTGTAGATTACGTAATCGCAAAATGCTGAATTTTGTTGGATCCACTTGCCATCGTGAAAGTGGGTTATTTCGAGCACCTAAGCCGAGAGTAAAAAATTTCTCTACAGAAACTCTGAAAGAGAGGAAAAGTTACCGCCTTAAGTATCTTTTAGTAGATTTGTTATCGTATTTCCATTAAAAATATAAAACGTAAAAAAATAGCCCTAAATTTCAAAATTTGCCTGAAAAATGTTGTGACGCACACAATTCTGCGCACTGATTTGAGCGATGTTTGTAATTCCGCTCATTGATGCACCTAATTTCACACAGTTTTATTGATCTGGAATTTAAACCCTATGCTGGTTTTCAATTCGTTTGAAAGTCTTCTAACACTTCAAGGATACTATTTTTCATTCTCAGGTTCTGAAAATTTCTGTAGTGTTATTAGCCAATCATTTAACAATGTTATTAAACCAGTCAATCACAGATTGTAAACATGCCGCAGCTGTGTTATATACAGTGTATCTCAAAATCGAGCGTAAATTTTTAGAAAAACAGCTTCAAAAACAATTTAAAGAGATACGTTTCTGGATTTCTGGCTGCTGAATCATCATAAATTTATCAATTATTTCGTTTTGATGGCTTTCTCAGTCTAGGGTAATCCAAACAGTTAGTTGTGCATTGCCCGACGTTTCGGCCGTTTATTGTGGCCTTTTTCAAGGGTAAACTAGAAAGATATTACAACTTATAGAGACTACTACTAACATTAAACATTGATATAATATGAACATACACAGTCTACCGTTTTTCGTCAATTTTTTTTTGTTTGTTGCCACGATAAGCGTGTTTAGCTTGGAGAGGCTTCCTGTATGGTGCATTGAGTTCAATATAAATTAACATAGGACACTATATGAAACTACACTATACAACGGTTATTTTGAAGAAGATGGTGGGATAAAGCATACACAAAAGTAGATAAAGCTCATCTATGTCCACTCGTTCGTGCTTTGTTTAACTTGACTGTGTGTATTGTTTCGTGATCGTTCTCTGCGTGAGAGATTAGCTCTCACGGTATGGAGAATATCAGCGTACGTTGTGTTTAGCCCCGCTACATCTGTTCTGTAAGATGTAGCGGGGCTATATTATAATAATTATTATAACATTAAGCATAATCCTATGTTCAGACTACAATGTTATAACATGTTAGAAGGCTACCGGGATGTGTTTGTTCTGTAATAATAATTATTTTTTTCCTATTATAACATGTTATAATAAGAGTTCTGCAGTCGAAACATAGTATAAAGATAGGATGGTTATATCTACTCGGGATATCGCGTTTAATATTCTCTTCATTTTTCGAGGTGTTGGATAAGATGTTAGTCTTATTTATTGACAAGTCTTGTTAAATATGTATCGTACGTATCACATAAAGATCTCTGGAAAATCCCCGACACTTAAAAGCATTAGACAATAAGTTGGCAAAAATACCGATCATGCATTAATAACATATCTGAGGTGTGTTTTTGCAATGTTCATCATACACGAATGGGAGGAATGATAGCAACAAAAAATGCAACGGTAGGTATCACATAATATATACTTTTGTTTCCTAATATTGTTTTCCTGGACCATCATCGTGCAGTACCACTATGCTAAAAGTGAAATCTATGATATTTATGTAACAGCTTTTGCACAGTTGGAATTCTATTAATTCCCACTTTGAATGACATATTGATAAAACAACATTTTACTGTAACAATTTTGTATATATTGCTATATTAAAAATACTTAAACACATTAACCATATAAAAATTTGGAAAAGGGATCAGTCAGAAGAAAAACTGGTTATATTTAGTAAATAAAGAACTTTCAGCATGGCAACAATTAGGAGGTCAACAAGGAGCAATCGAAAAGAGAGGTGACTCTGACTCGAATTGCGCAATATAAGCAGTGGTGAAAAAGACCAACAAACGAATCAGATTGGACGCTTACGTTGGTTGGGCGCAGACGGGGAAAAACGGTTCATTTCGTGCATTGCCCTTAATTGGCTAAATGCACGTTATGGTTTCCCTTTCGTTCAGAATTGCCTAAGGTGAAAGGTTCTTCTGTGTGTTGAAGTACCTTGCAAAATAAAAACTGGAGCGCAGTTACTATGCATGCGAACGATTGGTTTTTGAGTGAGACCTGTCATTGCAATAAAACCTCCAGGCAATCGTGATCGCATGAAAGTTTCTCGCGGCAA